CAAGGTTATGCTCAAAATCCTACAAGGCAGAGAAACATCTACTTCTGCTTCATTGACTATGCAAAAGCCTTTGACTCTGTGGACCACAACAAACTATGGCAAATTTGTAAAGAAATGGGAGTGCCTGACCACCTTATCTATCTCCTAAGAAATCTATATGTGAGACAGAAAGCAACAGTTAGAACTGGATATGGAACAACTGATAGGTTCAAAATTGGGAAAGAAGTACGACAAGGCTGTATATTGTTTCCCTGCTTATTTAACTTATATGCAGAACACATCACGTGAAAGGCTGAACTGGATGAATCCCAAGCGAAAATTAAGATTGCCAAAAGAAATATCAACAACCTCAGATATGCAGATGATACCATTCTGATGGCAGAAAGTAAGGAGGTATTAAAGAACCTCTTAATGAGGGTGAAAGAGGACACTGAAAAAATAGGTCTGAAGCACAACATAAAAAAAAATTAAGATCATGGTCACTAGTCCCATCACCTCCTGGCAAATAGAAGGGGAAGATATGGAGGCAGTGAAAGATTTTACTTTCTTGGACTCCATGATCACTGCAGATGGTGACAGCAGGCACGAAATTAAAAGAACCCTGCTTCTTGGGAGGAAAGCAATGATAAACCTAGACAGTGTCTTAAAAAGCAAGGACATCCCTTTGCCAACAATGGTCCGCGTAGTCAAAGCTATGGTTATTCCAGTAGCGATGTATGGAAGTGAGAGCTGGACCACAAAGAAGGCTGACCAACGAAGAATTGATGCTTTTGAACTGTGGTGCTGGAGGAGACTCTTGAGAGTCCCTGGACTGCAAGGAGAACAAACCTATCAATTTTTAAGGAAATAAACTCTGAGTGATCACTGTAAGGACAGATCCTGAAACTGAGGTTCCAATACTTTGGCCATCTCATAAGAAGACTCCCTGGAAAAGACCCTGATGTTGGGAAAGTGTGAGGGCAAGACCTGATGGGGACGACAGAGGACAAGATGGTTGGACAGTGTCACTGAAGCTACCAACATGAATTTGACCAAACTCCGGGAAGCAGTGGAAGATAGGAGGGCCTGGCGTACTCTTGTCCATGGGGTCATGACCTAACGACTAAACAACAACAACAAAACAACAAAATTACTAAGTAATTATCTACAAACACCTAGAAGAATTAGTTGCCTTCTGGTTTGCAGATAACAAATACAATTTAGGGAAACCGTAATGTAGCTTTGAAATAAGTAGTACATAAAGAGGGCTGGCTATAAAGCCCACACATCTCTTAATCTAATGAATTTCAGACTATGTGGTAGTAGTGGGGTTAAATGTAAAAGCAAAACAATCCAGAAAAGAGGAAATGCTCTCGTGAGCATTGCAATGGGGACAGTTCCTTTGATTCTACCTCTGGTGTAGCTTCATTCTGATTGCAGACGGTTTCCATGCCTCCTAGTTTCCAGCGTCCATCCTCGCTCACAAACACAGAGGACAGGCAGATATTGTTGTGTGTTAGGTTTCCCTGAAACATATTTTAAAAGAGAAGGAGAACATTTGCAGCAAACCTGGGGGATAGTTTCAGGCACAAAACTCTAGTTAGTACTAATTAGGTGCCCCAAGCCTCCAGAAGAAAGCTGCCAAAACCACAGAGGAGTTGTATATGCCACCAGAAACCTCTTGCAAGGAGAAGAGCTTTATGACAGGTCAAGCTGAACTAGTGCAATTCAGTTTATTACTGGCAAACTTTTATCCCTATTTGTTCTGGGAAAGAATCCACAAACAAATTTCTTGCAAAAAACACAGTTGGTGACATAACAATCTTATTCACCTTGTATATTATCAGCATTTTTATCCTAGCAGAACTCTTCTCCAAAAGCTTCATCTTTACTTATGAACAATAACTCTCATCTCCGTGAACGTATGGCTTCCAGTGGTCCTTATGATATTAGCTCCAACTTGCATTTAACACAACCACCACCTTTTTCTCCATGGTCTATATTTTCTCATGAGTGCAGCCCCTCCCCTCCATCCCAGCTAGTAAGTTAATACTCTCTATTGCGAGGGGAAAAGCACTGTCTTTCAGATCTTGTGGGACCGCATGTCCCATTAGCTATAGCCAGCTCAGGCAGTGATAAAGGATTCTGGGAGCTGCAGTCCAACAACATTTGGAAGGCAGCACATTCCCCATCCAGTCCTATAAAAACAAAAATGTCAAGTACAAAGCAAAATGTACAAAAATAAGGGTTTACCAGATGTTTAAAAATGTATTACAAAATGTGTAGTCAAAAGTGCCTGTAATAATTTGTTGTAATTCTATAACAAACAAAAATATGCTGTGCAAGTATTGCTCCTAGAATGTTCCACTCCTACCACCCCAAAACTGATAGAGCAATAGATAAGGGAGCAAGACAGCTACTGCAAAACAGCAAGACATATGTTGGTTTATTTATTTTTATTCATGTTTACCCTATCTTTATGTTTATATTTATGTTTACCCTATCTGCTTTGGAGGTGGCATAGTGTAAAGGGAGTTCAATAACTATGTAATCCATTGTCACCTAATTTATGTTACTCAAAATAATTCACTTTTATTTAGCAGTGGAACTATTTGCCTTAAAGGCTGACTAAAGAAGAAAAAGAACCATCTAGTTGCCTGCAATCAACATAACAAGTGACAAAACCTATTTCCATTTAAGGAAATCTCCATTCCCATAAAAACGATAACAATAATGTCCCATCCAGTCAATTCCAAACTATGGCAATACCACCAGTTAAAAAGTACTAGCAAGTGATTTAACAGTCTCTCCCTCTGCTGCTGCCCCAGACAATGCAACTTGCCCAAAGCCATATGGGGGTAGATCACATCCTTGGTGATCAGTCACACATACTCCAGCTCACCTCAGCTGGCGTCTCTTTTGGAAGGTGCAGTGGAGATTCAAACTAAGAGCCCTGGCTTTGAGGCCAAGCTTTCCTACTCACTAATCACCTCTTATATGTTCCCTTCTATGCAAAGAAAGAGTACTTACCCTGTCATGGAGAAACACAATAGCCTGTAGAATATCATAGATTCCAGCACATATCTCAAAAGGAGACAGGGTTGCCAAGACCTTCTCCAGTGGTTGCACACGCTCAGTAACCAGGTGGATTCCATCTATTTCCACAGTACAAGAAAGGAAGCGCAGGAGGCAAGGGTGGCGTAAAGTTTTCAAGTGCTTCCAAAATGCAAGATAAAAATCACTTAGTAAGGCATTTTTCTGTTTAATACACTTGCAACAGTGAGAAGGGATAGCAGAAAAACTTGGTTTCTGATATTTTCACATGGCTGCTAGTAGTTTGAATCATCTTTCATCAGAATGTTTTGGTTGAAATTATTAATTCTTGTTTCTTTTCCCTACAGTCAATATTCCCATAAACATATTTAGATTAGGCTTTAGCCTGTTCATAAAGTAATACTGAAAGTTTGTGACAACATATAATTCTAATTTCAAATATTAGTTAAGTAGAAAGGATATAAATACAAATGGAGAAGAGTACCCTGTGTAAGATTATGTAATGCTACATGCATCCAATTGTGAATATCCTGTTTCTCAAAGTTTCTACATGAATGCTTACTGTGGTCATAACAGTACACATAATTTACAGAACTGTAGGTCTGCCAAAATAAGGCAGCTTTACCTAATTGTGTTCTTGTGAATTTTAGTAGGTTTTTGCTTATTTCTAACAGTTAGCAATGTGCTCTCAGCTATTGTTTGCATTTCTTAACTCTCAGAAAACTGTTCTGGATATTTTATTTACATTTTATAATAATTTACTGAGAGTGCTCACATGCTTTAAATCTGCTCTGATGTCGCTTTCCTCCACCCCAGAAGAGTTGGCTACAAATTGTTGAGCTTTCTTTAGCTGAAAGGGCACTAATGATATAGGGGCAAAACTATTTTGGGGTTCATTACAATTAAGATGAAGATATATAACTAAAGAACTTTTTATTTGACTCCTTATATTGAAATAATGCAAACTAGGCTTGAAGGCTTCACATATATTTTCATTGCCTTTTGTTGTGCTGTACCCCACTGCTCAATGATGTTAACTGAACATGGAATTTTGTTAACAGAACTTATGTTGAAGTAGATGTTTTGAAGATATTTTGACTAAGAAAAAATGGTAAGAAATTAGACTGTTTATTCTCCAGCAATTGTGAGTTAACTGAACTAGTTACTCTATTTGTCTTGCTAATCTAGGGGATCTAAAGAACTATCATTTCAGAATGCAGTGGCTGGAATCCAGTAGTAAGCTGCAAGTACAGTAGACCTACTGAATCAATGGAACTTATTTAGGTTCCACTAAATCCCCACTAATTCAATGGGCCTGTTCTAGTTGTGACTTACTGCTGAACTTCAGCCAATGAATTTGTTTATGTCAATTGCCTTGGAAATTTACCCAGATGAAAATTCACATTTTAAAATGAATACTACGTATACAAGTGTCAATACCAAGACAATACCTTGGCAGCTTTGTTAACGTTGTCTTCATTCTCTCTCTTATACACAAAGACCGAAGCAAGTTTGCCATGCTGCAGTACCGCTGGGTAAATACGGACTCCAGAGGGTAACGTAAATGGAGGCTGTTCCAGTGCGTCATGCTTTAAAGCACTATTCTCTGAGCCCATCACCTTATAAACCTGAGGCGTTTCACAGAGTGTTTTTCAAGTTCCAAAAAAGCTTTAAAAAGAATTCCAAATAAAACAGTACCAGCATATGTGAAATTCCTTACAGTATTCTCTGTAAAAGAACACAAAATAAACACCTTATAAATAAAATGTATTGATCCAATAAACAAACTTTACAAAAGAATTTCTACACACTTAAAAAGACTGTAAAAACAGAATAAAAACCAAAAGAAAATGTAATGAATATCAGTAAAGTAAAAGTTACAAACATTTCAACTGGACAAAAATTAAACTATCTTAACGTCTCTCAAAAAAGCTGATTACAATTTCTGAAATAGGTTTTTCTCATATTATTTTTGGGTTTGTGTTGAAAAAAATTATACTAAGTTTGAAACCCCAAATAGATCTACAATACAGTACACTCTACTGAACAAAGTGGGTCCTGTTTGCAAGTAAATGTGTAGGATTATAGTGAACGAATCATGGAACAAATAATCCAAATTCCAAATACAGTACTGCCTTGAGCATAAAAATTGTAAGGTTCATAATATATCATCTTCTATAACATGTGCATTAACGTAAGACCAACACTATCTCTGTCGATTCCAAATCACTAAAGAGGCAGCACTAAAAGTAAATACAAATGGAAGTAAATCTGAAAACAGAAAAATCAGCTGTTCATAGTCCCTGCCATGCCCATTTAGATGGAGAATTAGCCACTGGTTCAACAGGTATCAAAGCAAAGGAGTTGGAAGTGGCTTTTTTGGAAAGTATTGTATATGCAAATTAGGAAAGAAAGTGCCACAAAAGTGGTTCAATTATTTGTTATTTCATTTATATTTAACCTTTCTTCCAATTCAAGGACATCATAAGAAACCCCTCAGACAAAACATCCCCCCCCTTCAAGACCATACATAAAGAGCCTGCTTGGTGTTCATTTGCTTTTAGAATATCCTACATAATTATTTGGGTATATGACCCCTAGTCCTAACACTGGAACTTCTAACAGGATGCACACCTTTATCATTTTAAGTTTACTCAGAAGAATACAAAAATTGAATTTCTTGTCAAAATCAGAGATCAGGCCAGATGAGGTGTCCTGGTATCTGCTTACAACTTTTATATTTTATTTAAAGAGACACAGCCTCAGTACAGAATGCAGTTGTATTGCAGGCAAATCCCAAGAAATATTTTTCCTGCATCTCTTGAAGAAAACAGCATCTCTTGAAGAGAACTGGGTCAGTAAGGTTTTTTAAAGAGCAGAATTTGAACATACTCAGAAATAAGATGACAGTTTTCTCTGTAGTATTTCAGCAAAGCTTGTTGATTACCCAAAATTTAATACCAGTGAATATATGCTACTTATTGACTGAAAAATCCTCATGAGACACCCAATGCTTGATGGAAACCTGGCCATTGAGGAAAACAGAAGCGAACAAAAACCAACAAATTTTCTAAATGTACGCAGCCACTGACCCTCCCAACAGAAAACGTGAAAGCCTCTACGTTTTGTTTTCTCCTCTGTTCCCTCAAGCCACCAGCACAAGTACGCTTTTTCTCACTGCCACAAGTTAAACAATTTGCACAAGTTTTTATGGACTAGCACCTCTTCCCTCACGCCCCCAAAGAAGACAAGCAGGTAGACACACTGTTAAAAAACCTGTGAATAGTAAAACCAGGACGTCATGAGAAAAAAAGGGTCAAGAGCAGCATTTCTCGCCTCTTACACGTCACAACATCTTTTGTCCCCTGTTCGCGTGATGTGTGGTGTCACATAACGTGCACCCCACCTGTCAATGCGGGGCAACGAAGGCGCCCGCCTGGGCTCGATACACTACGTACTACCAATGCTTCTGCCGCAAGCAGAGTAGAGTACCTTTGCTACTTTTATACAACATGCGAATAAAGGAGGAGGATTTCGGGGCAAGGGAGGGGGGCGCAGAGCCTGACAAGCGGTCTGACCCGCTGCTTTCCATCCCCTGCCCCCGAGGCCTTTGGCAGCGCGGTCCGTCTTTTCCCTTCCAAAGCTCCAACGGAAGGTCAACAGGCCACGCAGCCAACTACCCAGCGGCCAAGGCCAGGCGCGGGCCTGCTCCTCCCCCCCCGCCGCCCAAGATGCCGAGCCGATAATCTGTCAGAGCCAAGCTAACCTGAACGCCCGCTTCCCAGTGACGGAGAGAGAAAACGGCCCTGGGCGGAGCTGGAGCCGGAGCCCGAGTCCGAGCTGGTCCCGGCGCCCCGCACCCCGTCCCGCCCCCAGGCGCTCACCTGCCGCCCCGCGGAGGGGGAGAGGAAGAGCCGGACTGCCCTCAGCTCCTGGGCTCCCTCGGCAGCCACTTCCATAGCAAGGGAAGGAAAGGAGGCCAACTTCCGGCCCAGGCATATCATAGACTCTCACAGGAAGGGCGAGTGACGCTTCAAGGGACTTCCGTTTCCCTTCCGCCTCCGGGAGCTGGTGAAGGCGTCTCTTCTGAGGGCGGAAGAAGCTGGCAAGCTGCCCTCGGTCGGCAGCTTTCGTGCAGAACGGCGACTTTTTTTGGGGGGGGGGATGCGAGAGCCGAAGGGGAGTCGGCAGCAGCCGCCATCCTTCCCGCGGCTCGCTATTCGTCATCAACACTTTATTTTGTACCAGCTAGTTTTGTACCTTTATTGCCGTGAAGAAGCAACTTGGCCTAAATCCGCGATCACCCCAAACTTTTGGGGGCAAAGTGTTCTTAGCGATCGGACCACAAACTAACTGCCAGCGCTGCTTCTCGGTTTCCTCTGGTGGAGACTCTAAATTCCAGGATTCTCAGAGGGAACATTTA